TGCTCCCAGCCGCCCGCCCCTCCCTCGTCTCCTCCACGTGGCCCCACACCCCTCGCCCCGGCGCAGCCCCTTGCCCCACGCTCTCCAAACCCCATTCTCAGTATGCGTGCCGGGTGCAGCCCCACAGCGCCCAGAAGAGTAGTTTTTCCCTTTTTGACTTCCGCCCGAGCGCACCTGGCTCATGCCACCCGCGCTCTGGCTTTCAGGGGAGCGGCCCGGGCCTGGCAGCCCCCGGAATCTGAAGCCCGCGGCCGGCAAACTGGGAGCCCCGCTGAGCGGCCTGCAGGGGCTGCCCGAGTGCACACGCTGCGGCCACGGCATCGTGTGAGTACCCACCCCTGCCTTCCGACGCCCTGGGCGGGGCAGGCTTGCCAGTCTGTAGGCCAACGCTGTCCTCTGCCGGTCTCCCATCAGGGGGACCATCGTCAAGGCGCGGGACAAGCTGTACCACCCCGAGTGCTTCATGTGCAGCGACTGCGGCCTGAACCTCAAGCAGCGCGGTTACTTCTTCCTGGATGAGCGGCTGTACTGCGAGAACCACGCCAAGGCGCGCGTGAAGCCCCCCGAGGGCTATGACGTCGTGGCAGTGTACCCCAATGCCAAGGTGGAACTCGTCTGAGCTGCTGCTCCTGGAACACCCCCCCCTCCCCCGCCTCTGCTTCTTTTAATGTCCCATCGGCCCGTGTAAATATGTTTGTCCCTGCCTCTCTAATAAACTCCCACTGCTAGGACTCGACAATTTCAGTGCTTTAGGCCATGGCTCCCAAGTGCTACCTCTGTTCAGATTCCGAGCTTGTCCTGGACACTGGGTGCAATGGCGAGCAAGACAGGCACTGTGCTGTCCAAGGAGGCCACAGCCTGGATGGATGGCAGACATGAGTCACAAATTGTATTCAAAGGGAGGCGAATGAGGTCAGCGGTGCTGTAAGGCGACATCACGCCAAGGGATCTGACCCTCCGTGGAGTCAGGGAAGGTGTCAGCTGAGAACTAAGGGCTGAGAAGGGAAGAGCTGTACAGGGCGAGGAACTGTGTGCAAAGCTGTGGCAGAGGTGAGCAGAGACAGGAAAGGTCCCGCCTGGCCACCAGCATAAGCGCGGGCAGCCCCTAGCAGCCACAGAATTGCCCCTCCGGGTGTATGATCGGGAGATCTCTATCCTGTGAACGGTATCTGTCTCCCAGCCTTCTTCCAATTCTCCTTACGGTGTTTCTCACTTTCTCCCCTTTTTATTTCCCCTTCCCGTCTCTCACCACCAGGGGGCGCGCTTAGTGGGGAGGTGGTGGTGGCGGGAGGCGGAGAAGAGGAAGACTTTAGACCGTTAGGCTAGGGCTGCACCCTTCAAGATGCTCTGTCTCCAAAGGCGAGAGTAAACGCCACCCAACTCATAGGCCGGTAGTTACAGCGGGTGCGGCAGCCTCGAGCTTTTCACGGCGTATGCACGCCGGGAGAGGCGCTCACTTTTTAAAAATATTAATGCTGCCAGAGCTGGTGACCTGGCTGCTCACACCTGAAGATGCTCCTGGACTCCAGGTCCTGTGCAATTCCCTTCTCTTTAACTTGCTTCCGGACTAGAAGCAGCCTCGTTTATTTAGTGCAGTTTTACTTAATGAACCCAAATAACATACTTTGTGCTATTGTCAATTTTGTACTATCGCAAACCACAAAAGGCTTAATCAATTCACACTCTCACAGCAGTACTCATTTCTCTGCGCTCTTGCCAACATAGGGCATTATCCCCCCCCTCATTTTTGCCAATCTAAGTAAAACGCCATATGTAGTTGCTTTAAGTTGCATTTCTCTGGTTACCAATAGTGAGGCATTCACTCAAATATATATTGTGTTTGTTTGTGGGTGCTGAGGGAAGAGCGGGGAACAGAATGGTCTTCTCCAAGAGTTCTTGTGGGAAATGCTCTAAACTCTTCACTCTTTTTCTTGAGATTTAACGTTTTTTTGTTTTGGTTAATCCTCACCCAAGGATATTTTTTCCATTGATTTTTAGAGAGGAAGGGAGGAAGCGGGGGAACATCAATATGAGACACACCGATTGGTTGCCTCCTGACCAGGGCCCGAACCTGTAACCCAGGTACATGCTCTTGACCAGGAGTCAAACCCGAGAGCCTCTGGTGCTCTGGCCAGTGCCCTAACCACGGAGCTACACCAGCCATGGCTAAAACTTCTAAATTATAGGTAGGACCTTTTCGTATTTTTGTAAGAATCTTTGTTACTCCCACCGATCTATTTTCCTATTCTTGTGACAATATCACATTGGTTTAATTACTACCATTTTAGAGTTTACTATGCCAATATCTCCCCCTTGTTCTTCATTTACAAACATGTCCTGGCTATTGTACATTTTCATTGGTCAGAAGTTCAGATTCAGTATGTCAGGCTCTGGAAAAACAAGCAAACCAACCAACCTCTGAACCGTGACTGGGGTTCCCCTGAATCTAGAGATTCACTTGCTGAGTATCAGCGTAGAGTCCTTTCCTCCCGAGGCTTACGGTGACCGGTGCTTACGGTCCCATTTATTCACGTGCCAAGTACGCACCCTCGCATTCTCGTAAATGTTTACTTCCGTTTTCTTCAGGTAGACCTTGTGCTCCTGCTTTAATCTGTTCCTAGGACTCCTTCCCAAGGCTCCTCCCGCCGCCCCGCCCCTCCCTGAGGGAGCCCAGGCCAGGGCATGGGGCAGGTGTCCCTGGAAGTGAGGTGAAACGAGGGGCCTGGAGTCCTGGGCCCTGGTCCTGAGGATAACCCCGGCGCCCCCCCCCTCCAAACCTGCAGGGGTCTGCGCCCCCCGGGGCCAGACG